TTGTGTCTGTTTGCCTCCAGCAGAGAGAATTGGTAAGTGTGTAACACAAGGAATATGGTTTAGCTTCAGTGTGTACTGTTGGTCACCTGTGATCTGACAATAATTATTTCAGCGGGATATTTCCTGCATCTGTCTGTCTTTCTTTAGAGGGGTTAGTGAATCAGTGTATAAAGGAAGAGTTGTATTACTTGTCAGTTTCAGTTTGATATTCATGATAGTTCACTCTCAGTCACTGTAGAGAGACAGTGGAGGCAGATTGCATCCGCAAAATCAAAAGAGAATTACCAGTAACTTGCAAATCTCTGCAGAGGAGAGTGAGAAATGCAATGCGGTATTTAGTGAAGAATTCAACTGTGGCGTATGAGAGATGGAGTAGCAGATTTTTTTAATTTGGGGACTGCAGTGGTCTTTTTATCGCCTCCACATCCTTAAGTGTCCATGATCTTGGAAGAGGCTGTGAATGCTTAACTGTATGCTACACAATTACACTGTAGTTTGACAGAAGTGAGACCAGTGATTGCATAGCTATATGACTCACTTAATGGATTGAGTGTATATAATTAGAATGGTGTAATTGCTGGTTAATTTCAGTTGCTTGTCAGAACCAGATAATGGTGATAGTTCACACTCAGTAAATACTACTGCTAGATACCCACTGGATCTATCTCCTCTTTGTACCCTTTAGTATTATTTTCCTCAAGTATTTATCCAATTTCCTTTTAAACAATTTTATAGATTTAGCTTCAACAGCGGTTTGCGTTAAGGCATTCGACATTGTAAAATTATATATTTTTAAAAAATATGTAAAATAGTTTATTCTAACCTCTTTTTTTCTTCTGGTAATATTTCTCAATTTATAATCTCTTGTTCCTGACTCAGAGCAGTGAAAATAGTCTTTCTCTATTTACCCCATCAAAGACATTTATAATTTAGAAAATCCCTCCCCTTAATCCTCTCTGGTCCAGCAAAACCAACCCCAAATATTCAAGTCGCTCCACGTAACTGTAATCTCTCAACTGTGGTATCGTTTTACTGAGCCTCCGTTATACTTTCTCGGTGGCCATGAGAAAGTTTTGCCCCAGTTTTGCAGCTCGGAGGTTGTTGTTGGACTGTGTTCATTTAGCTATCAAAAATGGTGGTTGAAGCAAAATCAATAATAGCATTTAAATGAGAATTAAGCAAGTATTTGAAAAGGAAATCAATAGAAAAGGGAATGAGGACTAAGTGAATAGCTATTTCTAGAGAGCTGTCTTTTGTGCTATAAATTGGTTTAATTCTATAGTTCACCTGGAAAAGGTGAGGGCTTAGTGGAACCAAAACACTATGGAAAAAATCTCAACCAACTGAGCTACTTGGATGTTGTAGAAGTTAAAACATTTTTAAATGGGTAATGAGCCATCCACAGTATGGTGATAAGGTGACAATTCTCCAAGGGATGTCAGCTGGGTCTCTTTTGGGCTGTGATCTCTCCAACGTGATGTGTCTGGCAATGGAATATCAGAATAAATCTCACTAGTCCAGTTCCAGCCAATCTGGCGAATTAACAGCAATAGGAGGAGCCTTTTGGGTCACTGGGCCATCTCACTTGGTTCCTGTTAATCCTGCCCAAAGCCCCACTAAGCAGGAATGGTCCTAGCTGGTCAAGCAACTGGAAGCTTGCTGGATAGTACTGGGAATAGCAACCAATGCAGGTTCAGCAGGTTAAACAGCAGCAGTACCCCAGCACGCATTCTGAGATCCCCAAAGCCTAAAATCTCTTGTCAATTTACACACAAACTTTCTGGGATCAGGTAAGCAATGTGGGTTCCTCTGGGAGGAGTTTGTGTTCTATATACCAGACACTTACTCACTGTTTGTGGTTCATTGCTGTGTGGAAATTGGCTGTCACGTTCACCCACAAAATACACACAGGTGCATAGCTTTACATTGTGTCCTGTGAAGCGCTTTGAGATGTCTTGATAACGTGGTAAGGTTGTTGTATCAAATGCAAGGATTATTATTTTGGATTGTACAATCCACACCAATATGGAACTCTCAGTAGTTTTAGTTTGGAATAGCACTTTCAGCCACTACGCCCCATAATTCTGGAACACTCTTCCTCTATCCCTCTGCCTTGACCCCTTCCTTCTCGTCTTCAGATCGCATCTGAAGACCTTCTTTTTCAATCGTGCCTCCAACCATCTTTTCCCCTTCCCACCAGTGTGGTGTTCCACCACTGTCAAATGCTCTGGGAGGCTCCCTTGGGTGAGGGGTGGCTCTGGAACTCTAACCCCCAGTGTCTTCGCCTTGCCTCCTCCCTTTCCTCCTTGAAGGCCGGTCTCAAGACCTTTCTCTTTGACCGAGCCTTCAGCTCCCCTCTCGACTCTCTACCCCTCCTCGCTCCCTCCCTTCCCTCCCCTCACCCTGACCATTTCCCCCCCCAATGCTCGGGTCCTGACCCAACTGTCCAGCGCCTTGGGACGTCCTCCCGACGTGAAAGGCGCTCTATAAATGGAATCTTGTTGTTGTTGTTGTTGTTATAAATGCAAATTGTTGTTAAGCACAATGTTTGCATGTGAATAACTTTGTTGGTCGGCTGCAATCTGTTGTCGTGGGGAGGGAGGTTTGGGAATCAGTTACTAGGTGCACTGCTGTCCTGGTCTGTGCCCAGCGGGGTGGGTGGGTGAGAGTGAGTGAGTGAGAGTGAGTGAGAGTGAGTGAGTGAGTGGCTGTGGATGAATGTGAGGATGGAGATGAGATGCTCTCTGTGGGGCCACAGGTGGGAAGGTGCGCCGCCACTGGCCGTCTCAGGTACTGGCCGGAGCCTCAACACAGCTTGGGATCGCGGTGAGAAAATAAACAGGAGAGAGAGAGAGAGAGAAGGAAAAAGAGAGAGGAAGAAAGGAAGGAAGGAAGGGAGGGAGGAAAGAACCTGGATCTGCTCACTCTATTCCCTGAGACAGCAGAGCGGATAGGCACAGAGAGAGGGAGGGGAGAGGGAGGGAGGGAGAGGGAGAGAGGGAGGGAGGGAGAGAAGGAGGGAGGGAGAGGGAGGGAGAGAAGGTGAGAACATCTTTAAAACAAAAAGGTGACCTGGTTCTGAAATAACATGGAGTGAGGGAGGGAGTGAGTTTACTCCGGGAGGAGGGGGAGAAAAACTGATCAGCCGATTGCTACAGTGTATGTGAGAGAGGAATGAGAGGAAGGGATCAGCGGCTGCAGTCTGGGAACTATTTGGGTTGTTGCTGCCGAGAGTGAACACAGCGGAGACCAGTCCCAGTCCCCACAGCCCCCACTCACCCCCACCCCCACTCCTCCCCCCAGCCTCAGCCCCCCCTCCTCCCCCCAGCCTCACCCCCCCCCCACCAGCCCCCCCCACCAGCCCTCAGCCTCCACTCCCCCCCACTCAGCCCCCACTCACCCCACCCCACTCCTCCCCCCAGCCTCAGCCCCCCCTCCTCCCCCCAGCCTCAGCCTCCACTCCCCCCACTCAGCCCACCAGCCCCCACTCCCCCCACTCAGCCCCCCACCCCAGCCTCAGCCCCCACTCCTCCCCTCAGCCCCCCACCCCCACCAGCCCCCACTCCTCCCCCCAGCCTCAGCCCCCACTCCCCCCCACCAGCCCCCACTCCCCCCCAGCCTCAGCCCCCACTCCCCCCACTCAGCCCCCACCCCACCAGCCCCCACTCCCCCCCAGCCTCAGCCCCCACTCCCCCCTCAGCCCCCACCCCCTCAGCCTCAGCCCCCACTCCCCCCCCAGCCTCCCAGTCCCAGCCTTAGCCCCCACCCCACTCAGACCCCAGCGCCTCAGCCCTCCCCAGCCCCCCCCTCCCCAGCCCCCAGTCCCCAGCCCCCCAGTCCCCAGCCCCCCCCCCCCCTCCCCAGCCCCCAGTCCCCAGCCCCCCCCCTCCCCAGCTCCCCAGCCCCCCGCCTCCCCAGCCCCCCCTCCCCAGTCCCCCCAGTCCCCCAGCCCCTCCCCTCCCCAGCCCCCCCCCTCCCCAGCCCCCCCCCTCCCCAGTCCCCCCCCCTCCCCAGTCCCCCAGCCCCCCCAGTCCCCAGCCCCCACCTCCCCAGCCCCCCACCTCCCCAGCCCCCCAGACCTCCCCAGCCCCTCCCCAGCTCCCCAGCCCCCCAGTCCCCAGCCCCCCCTCCCCAGTCCCCCCTCCCCAGTCCCCCCTCCCCAGTCCCCCAGCCTCCCCAGTCCCCAGCCCCCCTCCCCAGTCCCCAGCCCCCCCAGTCCCCCCTCCCCAGTCCCCCAGCCCCCGCCCCCCCAGTCCCCCCTCCCCAGTCCCCCAGCCCCCCTCCCCAGTCCCCCAGCCCCCCCTCCCCAGTCCCCAGCCCCCCCCTCCCCAGTCCCCAGTCCCCCAGCGCCCCCCAGTCCCCAGTCCCCAGCCCCCCAGTCCCCAGCCCCCGCCCCCCCATCCCCCCCTCCCAGTCCCCCAGCCCCCCCTCCCCAGTCCCCAGCCCCCTCCCCAGTCCCCAGCCCCCCCTCCCCAGTCCCCAGCCCCCCCCTCCCCAGTCCCCAGCCCCCCATCCCCAGTCCCCAGCCCCCCAGTCCCCCCCCCCAGCCCCCCCTCCCCAGTCCCCAGCCCCCCTCCCCAGTCCCCCAGCCCCCCAGTCCCCCCTTCCCAGTCCCCCAGCCCCCCAGTCCCCCCTCCCCAGTCCCCAGCCCCCCAGTCCCCAGCCCCCCAGCGCTTCAGCCCTCAGCTCCAGCCACAGGGAGATGCTGTGCGTTCACTGACCTCTCGGGGATACAAATGTTATTGCTCGTGGACCAGGTGATACTGTAACATTCCTTTTGCTTTCCTCCCTCCCTTCCTCCCTTCCACGTCTGAGCATGGATTGGAGGATTAAGACGGGCCCAGCCTGAGCCGAGCTGAGCCGAGCCGAGCTGGTGTGGCTTGTGCATTGTGTGGGGGGGGTTCATGGACCGGATCAGGTGCAGAGCAGGACACGGGCAGTGAGTTTTTGCCGGAGATCAGGGCTGCAAACACACACACTCTCTCTCTCTCTCTCTCCCTCCCTCCTTCCTTCCCTCTCTCCCTCCTTCCCCCTCTCTCTCTCCCCATGGCCGGGGAAGGTGTGCGGACAAAGGGAGCGGCAGGAGAGCAACGCGGCGGCTCACAGCAGCAGCAGCAGCAGCCACAGGGATCAGGCACAGAGCAGCAGCAGCAGCAGCGCTCGGGCAGGGAGCCGAGAGCCTGGGAGCACAGGGGCACTGAGGGCTACAAGTCCGTGGAAGTGGTGCTGAGCGGAGGAGCGCCCTGGGGCTTCACCCTGAGGGGAGGACGAGAGCACAGAGAACCTCTCCTCATCACCAAGGTAAGGAACCAACAAAACCTCTTCTGCATCTCCTCTGTGTGTGTGTGTGTCTGTGTCTGTGTGTCTGTCTGTCTGTCTGTGTGTGTGTCTGTCTGTGTGTGTGTGTCTGTCTGTCTGTGTGTGTGTCTGTCTGTGTGTGTGTCTGTCTGTCTGTGTGTGTGTGTGTGTGTGTGTGTCTGTCTGTCTGTCTGTCTGTCTGTGTCTATCTGTGTGTGTGTGTCTGTCTCTGTGTGTGTCTGTGTCTATCTGTATGTGTGTGTCTGTCTGTGTCTGTGTCTGTCTGTGTGTGTGTGTCTGTCTGTGTGTCTGTCTGTGTCTATCTGTGTGTGTGTGTGTCTGTCTGTGTCTGTGTGTGTGTATCTGTCTGTGTGTCTGTCTGTGTCTATCTGTATGTGTGTGTCTGTGTGTGTGTCTGTCTGTGTGTGTGTTTGTCTGTGTCTGTGTGTGTGTCTGTCTCCAGGTATGGAGGGACAACTGTAAGAACACAGCAGTTTGCCAGAGGAACGAAGACCAAGGTCCATCCAGTTCGCCTTCCGCCAACCTTGGCCATTCAAGTCCAGTGAGCATGTCATGTCCCAAACTATGTATTGTGTCCCCAGATCTTATTTCCTAACTGAAATCGATCTAATTTATTCTTGAAAGAATCGTGCCGGTGAAAGCACTGTGTGTGTACGTGTGTACATTATATTATTTTTTCAAATGATAAAACTTGGCATGTCAGGAAACTATCCATTAACTTATTTGAACATTATACTTCACGTGTGTCTTGTGACTCAAATCTACCATTGGTTAGAGCTGTAATCTGATGAATAGCTGGACTTGGGTTGACTGTAGTGGTAATTTTTTAATGAGTTATTATCGTGCAGTCTCAGTCCTGCACCAGGATCCGTCTTCTCATTACTTATATATGTAACATGGTTTGCTTGTGTATAATGTGTACAGTGAAAAGGGTTTTGAAGACCATATGTACAGTAGACTCCCATCGGTTTACGGTGAAAACGGAATGAAATTTCTCCCAGTGTCCCGGCCAACAATCCCCCGAATAAAATTGGTCACTCACTCCATGGCTGTTTGTGGGACATTACCGTGCGCAATTGACTACTACCATGTTTTGCCCATAAAATACAGTAACATCTGAATATTTGTCACTCAAGTTCAGTGAGCACCTTGATATCAGTTAATTCAATTCTGATCTTTCCCCTTCAAGGGCACAAAGCTTCAGATACAACGAGAGATGGGAGTTTTGAATTTCTTCTTTCTCTCCCATGTTTATTACACCAGCGAATTATATTTGAAGGACATTGCAGCTCTTATCTAGAAGAAGTGAGGGCCTCATTTTCCAAACGCTTGAGTATTGTATATGTCGAGAGTATTGTTTTCTATCTACTGTATTCTTAACAAAAAAAACTTCCTACTCTTCCCCCTTCTCAAAATCGTATCTCCACCCAAAGCCCCAACATTCTATACAGGAAGACCTTGTCAGGATATGCAAAGAATGTAATGGAAATTAGACATCCCAGTGCTCACGTTACCTGGGGAGTCAGTTAAAGTTTTGGCAAGTACTCGATTCTGTTAGAAATTAGTTTGAGCAGCTTTGCCTACAGATTGATGCTAGATTTGCCTACAGATCAATGCGCGTGTGTACATTTGTCAAGTTATAAACCTAATCTGGCTGAAAGCATTCACTCAAGAAATGTTCTCTACCCAGAATCCTCAAAGCATTTGCAAACCTGTAACAGGACATATGTTTAACCCTTTGTATTAAATGTGCTTTCACAGGGTTTGTGCATTTTCTATCGTAAGCGCAACCATATTTATTTTTCCATTGCAAATGTTTGAAACTTTAATTCTCCTTGTGGACATTGCAGTGTGCAAATTGGCTGCCACATTCTCCTACTCCTATGCAGTTACTATACCTTACAATTGCTTTTAGGGAATAGATGGGATTAGGAGCAGTGGAAAACATTATAAATTGTATTTTGTAAAGTTTTAATGCAGAACAAGTTTTGTATAATTTAGATACAATTTAGGGCTATTTAGCAGTTTGAATTTTAATTTAATAGCTGACGGTTTTGAGTCATTTTCCTATGTGAAGGCATTACATATGTGCAATGAGTTGTTTTTAACAAAATATTTATTTAAGAAGCTAACATTTTTGGGCTCTGAATTGTTCAGCTTTTGAAATACAGTGGATGGCCCAGGGAGTGATGCCTGGAAATCTTTAGAAAGGGATAACGTGAATTCCTGATTAAACAGGGAGTTGGGTTATTTTTTTTCATACATCTGGGTGAACTCACCATTCAGTAACTGCTTGAGCCTTGCTATTTTGATTACCCAGATTCTGCCTTAAAAATTAGGTGTCAGCCAGGCTCAGTTGGTAGCACTCTTGCCTCTGAGTCAAACGGTTGTGGGTTCCGGCTTTGAACTCATAGCTTAAGCTGATACTCCATTATAGTAGGGGATTTGCTGTCTTCAGATGAGACATTAAACCAACATCCTATTTCCCTATTTGGGTGGATGTTAAAGATCAAGTGTTTCTATTCAATAAGAGAAGGGAGTTTTTTCCTTGTGTCATGGCAAATAGTAAAATTGGTCATTAATTTCATGGGTGTTTGTGAAACATCACAGCCAGTTAACTGGCTGCCAAGTTTGCCTACAAACCACAGTTACTGCATTTTACAGTGTATCCTGTGAAGAGCTTTGAGATATCCTCCTGATGTGAAAGCCATCATATATCAAATGTGATTATTTATGTGATGAGACCCTTCTAAAGATTAATGTTTTGAAAACAATGAACTGGTGCAGATACTGTTTGTATACAAAGTTACAGGAGATGTATGTTTCACCTATTTTAGCTTTGAATCACAACAACGACAAATTGTATAGCGCCTTTCACATCACGAGGATATCCCAAGGCACTGCAAGTTTAATTATTCTTATTCATCATGAAGTATGGTCTTTTATTTAGAAAAAGAAAGGTTATTTAATTAAGAAGTTGGCTCTCCTAATCCAGTCAGCCTCAACTCAATCTGTCCAACTGTGAGCAGTCTGGATGATTGACATTTAATGCTATTCAAAGCACAATAAATGCTGTTTTATTAGTAAACAAAAATTAAGGGAAATCAATGTATGGCAGTGTTTCATAATGTGTTCTCTTTGTTAATGAAACATTGCAAACTTTACCCTGTTGTTTAAAAACGAGGGTACACAAGAAGGTACTTCCATTTGTGAAAGTTTATCAATATTAGCGATTCTACCATTAAAAATGTAGGATTAATGATTACAATTATTTAATTGTAGTTTCAATAGATATTTTAACATGAAGCTGTGTTCTTCGGTAGTGTTTATTTATTATGCCATGACTGCTTTATTAAGCAAAGTTAATAACTTTCCATAGCACAGGGATCTTATTGGCTGGGGATCATTGCCCAATAAAAAGCATATAAAAAAGCTTTTCACTATATTTAGTGCAGGACAAATTATATGTAATGTTGCCTATTTTACACAAATCAACGAAAAATGTGTAGTATGTATGCGTTTCCAATCTGTTCTCAAAAAACGCCTGCACTGTGCTATGCATTTCAGAGAAACCACATGGAAGATCTTGTTGTGGATTAGAAATAAACGTTTGGCCTTTTAAAGCGTCTGAACAAATAAACTAAAATGTAAACCTCATTGCTCAAGAGATGGAAGATCTACTTTTTGCCAGAGTGGTTCCCTGATCCCTAATTGAAATTTTTGGTATGAAAAATACAGTAAACTCTTGATAACTCGAACGTGGCTTAACCTGTCACTACCACTTAAGTCATCATTGCTGTCAATAGCCGTGCCACATTTATTTCTGTATTTATACATATGCCTAAATCACCATTCTGGATAACTGAACCCTTTTCCCTTGGAATGATGAGTTATCAGGAGTTTATTGTACATAAAACTTGTATTCAAATATTGTTATAATAAAATAACAACAATCCTTGTATTTGATATAGCAACTTATCACGTCGTCAAGACATCTAAAAGTGCTTCATGGGACATTTTGTGGGCAAAACGCACAGCCAGTTTGAGCACAGCAATGGCTCACAAACAGCCATGGAGTAAGGGACCAATTGCATTTGGGGGATTGTTGACCAGGACACTGGGAGAAACTCCCTTCTCTTTTTGAATAGTGCCGTGAGATCTTTAACGTCCACCTGAACAGGCTGGCGGAACCTCGGTTTAACGTCTCATCCGAAGGACGGCACCTCCTAGTATGACGTATGTGTAACATAAATGTTCTGATTTGCAAATGTGATAAGGAATGGAGAAATTTCCAGGATTGTGAAATGTTTCTTAATCCTCAGCACGTGTCAAATACATTTTATAATTTTGATTTTGCCATGGTTCTTAAGGTGATCATACTATTTGGGAAAGTCTCCAAATCTCCGAACAGTTAGATATTTCATTTCAGTTCCAGTTTATTTTTGTTAACCTTGAGAGTTGATAACACCATTAGAGGAATTTGCTTGGTGCCATTACTGAATTTTGCAGGGTGAGGGTGTTGAATCCCACTGTCCTTGAGAAAGTTAATATTCTGCTATATTTGCTTTACACTAAGGCAGAATATCAGCTGAATGTTGCTGATGTGTTTAATGTTTCTGTGTTGGAGCTCAAGATGCCATAATGCAATGCCATTCCATTCTACGTGGAGTCCTGTAGCTCAGTGGTTAGAGCACTCGCTTTGCAAGCGAGAGACCTGAGTTCAATTCCAGGCAGGGCGAAACCTTGGGCAAGTTTCCTTACTCCACACAGAGCCTAATAATAATCCCTCCAAAACAAAAAACAATAATAAATTGGACATTTTCAATCTGTGACTGTTTGTGGGACATTGCTGTGCGCAATTGGCTGCTGCGTTCGCCCACAAATATACAGTCAATTCACTTTACAGTATGTTCTGTGAAGCACTTTGGGACATCCTCCCGACGTGAAAAGCGCTATATCAAATGCAAGGATTATTATTACTG